CAACCTGACTTACGATATAGTACACACGTTTTCGTTCGTCGAGACTCGCATCGACGACCATTCGAATCAGCATACGAAGGACCCTTCAAAGTTCTTCAACGTGAATCTGTGGAATTATGGTCTACTATTATATTAGTACTGCTCTAATAATAGACCTAATCCTAAATTTGTAGATTTGTCATGATATAACTGCCTAATCTATAAGATCTTACGTGGAAGTCACACCATCGACTACACCAACTCACTATATCGTATCAATTACCAATACATGATGTAGAACAAGGTTAGGCTAGAGAAAGAACAATATATTTAATATGAATAGAAGATATAAAGTAACATTGAGATGGACCACGCCTGCATGGACGAGCCATGCCACTCGATCAACTCCAGTCCATTCAATTCTTTGTTCGCGCCTTCTCCATTGTTAGGTATTTCTCCGCGTTAAATATTGAATATCTATTTTCTGAGTAGTCTCGTGTTCAGCTTTGTGGATTGTGTGGCTATTGTCCAATGCCACTACACTACTCTCCCACCAGAATCAACGTGATGTTGGTTCGATACCAAATTGGATGGGATCGTCGCGCGCCGGAGGTTACCAAGGATAAAAAGAATCCTCCGGGTATTGGTAAGCTGAAAGATAAATCAAAAAGAAAGCGGCAGCATCTGGTCGGGAAATACATGTAATAATTTTAAAATATCTGCCTTCATGCTTAAAACTCTTGAAATGAAAATTTGGGTGAAGATTATTTGAGCTATAAAAAATGGGGTTACAATAATAATAATAAAACAATGCGTGTTAATAGCCGTTGGTTAATAACTTGACGTATAGGTAGTAAGTATTTTGTGTTTAGAAATATTAAAGTAATGAATATTGTAGAAATGTTAATATTGGTATTAGTTTTGGTTTAAATTATGAAACCAATTTACAATTATGCCGGTAACCTATCCATATGTGATTTCCAATTGCATCTGTATTAGTAGGCTAACTGGAAGAACAAAAGTATTACCATGGAAAAGGATTCCAACTAGTGTTCCAGTTAGTTTGATACGGTTTATTTAGTTACGGGGAGATTTTCTCAACCTCATTTTTACTTGACCGTGATAGAATTTAGTAATACTACTAATACACATGAATGTTCATCAAAACAAAATTTAAATACGTGAGTGATGATTATATGAATTTTGGACAGATAGCTAGGAACAAATCGTTAAACATGAGTGTATTCGTAAGAGACATGCTCCAGACTCAATGTTCTGATCTGTGGCAGACTATTTATTTATACTTATATTTGCCGGCTGATGGTGCATACAAGTTAGTTGCAAGTATGCAGTTTATTATAAGGCGGAATACGATTCAATTGAGATATAGTGATTATAAGTTACTGAAATCAGTTAAGCCTGTGTCACATTACTAAGTGATGTGGTGCTGTAAGATGTACTCGGCCAAATACGTTTTTACAAGATGATTAACCGTGAGTGATGCTCATGTGATTATCAGGGAGTACATAAGTTGTAACCAAGGAGAGTACACTCCCAACTCATGTCTATGATAATGGCTTGAACCTTAGTCAGTGTTGGGGTAAATTCGACATTGATGTTTTCAGTTTGCAGGAGATTTGCTCGACTGCTTATACTGATTATTTGCATGCATGATTGTGTCGCTAAACCATCAATTAGACTGACAAGGTTTTGAGATATTTACTGAATGAGCAACTGAGAGAGAAACATACTGTAATCATCTGTAGTGAATGAAGATAAAAGAAAAACAACACTAGTGATAATTATAAGTCAATTTGTTGACCGATTTTGTTAATAGTTTCATTAATTTTATCAATCATATTACGTGATTGTCAAGTCATGACAATGCTTTATGACGATATCCTGAAACTATTACGTTTAACTAGTTATAGTGCTGAATGAGGATTAGTCAGTGGAAAAATAGGTATTGTTGCTTTGGGTGATTCGAAATTATCAGAAACTTATAACGTTAAAGAATCCGAGACGCCTAATTTAGTTATAAATTTTAATTCAGAAAGATTCGTTTAGTGTTAATTCTAGTAGGCTACGGAGTTTTGATTTTAAACGTTTGTTTAGCCAACAGCCACCTAGGGATTTAGTTATTTTACTAGTGCAGTTGATAGTACCTAAATTTTTAACCTTATTATCTAAACTATGTTCGCATTTTAGGCTGCTAATATGATAAATCAATCCATAAAGCCAAATACGATTAGCGACAACGACTATGATGGGTTTATTGATAAATGTTAAAGTCGATTCAGATGATTCCTAAATTTAGAAGACATGAAGATATAGTGTAACGTATGTGCGGGCCAGGTTGACAAGGTTGTTGACGTATATGACAATTTAAAAATAATGAACATGATCAGATAAATAAATTTCAAGTTAAGACTGCTTGTGAAACTTCAAGCAGGAATATGACGCGTTATAAACATTCCATAAGAAGTTACTGCATTTAACCTAGGGACACTTACAAATATATGGCAAAAGCAACTGGAAAACATATACATGTTAAGTACAAAAAATCATTAAAATAGTTGAACTCGCCTGGATTATTTTTGAAAATCAGATTATTCAGTGGACGACATATATAACGCCATTCGTGAGGAGTAGTAATGATCCAAAAGCATCCAGAATAAAACATGCAGTATGGCAATCACTTCCAGGGTGCTTGATGCTGTTGAGGTTTTTGGGACTCCCTCTGATCAGAACAACTGAATGAATCCAGATAATTGTGTGTGCCATCTAAAATGAACTTATGATTGCAGAAAAATTATAGCTGGAACTCACCGTATTTTTTGGAGATGTGCCATCCTTGTTGTTTGGCAATGGAACTCGAAAATTTGAAATTAGGCAAGCAGTGGTCGGAAGAAAAGATATTACAGGATAGTGTATAGTTTAAAACAGGATGAGGTAATAAGATAAGGAACACTGAATATTAGATCCAGGTAACTATTTAGTCCTTGCTGCATTGTTAGTCAATGTATATTTGCGTTATTTACTGGTCATATTTGCTAGAGCTTGATGCTTAAACAAGCCTATGTCGCTGAAGCATGTAAATGCTATTAAAGCTTGTTAACGAACCATCAAAGCTAATTAGTTGATATAGATGATCAACTTTTATAATCGATTGAGCTAGTAAGTTATGTGAACTAATAGATATAACATTACGATAATATATGTGACCATTAATCAAAGGACTATTAGAATAGTGGGTTTACAAAAATAAAATCCGATTGAGAAGGTTAAGGTGGAAATAAGGATTAACAATAATAGGTTGCGTTTCTTTAGTTGGGCTCACCAATGTGGAATTATGGTCTACTATTATATTAGTACTGCTCTAATAATAGACCTAATCCTAAATTTGTAGATTTGTCATGATATAACTGCCTAATCTATAAGATCTTACGTGGAAGTCACACCATCGACTACACCAACTCACTATATCGTATCAATTACCAATACATGATGTAGAACAAGGTTAGGCTAGAGAAAGAACAATATATTTAATATGAATAGAAGATATAAAGTAACATTGAGATGGACCACGCCTGCATGGACGAGCCATGCCACTCGATCAACTCCAGTCCATTCAATTCTTTGTTCGCGCCTTCTCCATTGTTAGGTATTTCTCCGCGTTAAATATTGAATATCTATTTTCTGAGTAGTCTCGTGTTCAGCTTTGTGGATTGTGTGGCTATTGTCCAATGCCACTACAAATCTAAGTACTATATAGTCAATAAGAACGGAACCAACGATAGCATCAGCATCGATCGCTTAAAAGCAGCGTATTTAGAAGGAAATCCTATTCACGTCGACTTTCCTTCGGTACAATCGCACAACGCGACTCCTACACTCATAATTCCTCAACCGACAACCAACACTAGCGATGATACTCCGAATGTATCTGAAAATATACCTAAAACGATGCGTTCTGGAAGAAGAGTAAGATTTCCAGAACATTTAAACGACTACTGCACGTAAGGCACTACTCGACATTTTATATTATCCCGATCTTTCTTTTTAACGATATATAATTTTTTTTAAATAAAAGTCAATTTTACTATGCCTATATATTTATATTTTGATTAAAAAAAAAACAAAAAAACATTTTTTTAACGCTATTACGTGTGCTTGAGTATATTTTCCATTTTTTCGCCGACATTGTGTTTTTACGCACATACGAGTGTATTTCGACATGCACTTACACTTTCTTTTTTCTTTTCCGGGACGGCTGGAAAAGAACGATGCAGTTTATGAGGAGTCGAAATTTTCGTTGTAACTATTTCTTTTTTTACTATGTTGTACCTCGGTCCCATATAGTAAGGAAAGACGACCAGACGCTGCTACACTTAGTAAGCTATCAGAAGAGTGTTTGCCAACGACAAACTCGTTGGGTTTAAACTTCTGGCTGGCCACGTCTTAGGGTCGTCACTGCCCCACTAGGGGGGGAGTGATCTGTAGCGGTAAATAAATCCCCAAAATAAATAGCTCTGTAAGTTTTCGACATTGGATGCTGACCATATGTTTTAGTGGACTCATTTAGCTGAAGGCACTCGGTCAGGCATCCGCACCAGATCACGTGTGGTAACGCCGTGCTCAACATCAACCGCAATCACTAGCCAGATTAGATCAGAGAATTCCGATATATTGGTCATCGTCAAATATACTCTTCCGATCTCCTCGACTCTGTCTTTTGATTTCTCTGGGTGGGAACGAAATACATTAGAAGGCGTTACTGGTAGAAGCGTTGTCAAACACTGAATACCTGTGACATCATCACTATAAATCCTTTGAAACAAAAGGATTAGAAATTTGGGTAACTGTGGTTCGGAGATACTCGCAGTCTTGCCTTGACATTAAGATTCGAGAACGAGGTAAGCTCGTGTTGAAAACACTGTACATAGGAACTTTCCGCTTTTTGTTATTATCGTTTGTTTTTTAGTTTCCCATGACCTTAAAGTTTTGAAAACTATTTGAAGTTGTTCGAAACTTCACGTTATCGAAACCTGGTTTTGCTTATCAGGTTGTCTTAATCTCATGAATGTGTCATTTATAGTTATTTTCATTTTGTATGCTTGTAAGGTTGTCGACTAAATTTATCCCTTATTTTTTGGTTAGATTGTCGTTCACGAACAACCTTGTGTGCTTCAAAAGTGACCTACTTGCTACTGTTGAGAGTTTAGGGCCAGGATGTATGGTATTACTTCGGGGTTGCGAATTACATTTACTGTTTAAATGATGACCTTACATTAGCTGTGATGCCAAAATGCTATATAGGCCTATGGACTAGTCTATGTTTGGACTTAGCTAGTGAGTCTTGCTCCAAAATCCAATAATTTCTATTTGAAATCTCTTTGTTTCATCTAATTTAGTCTCACCGTTCTTCTCTTTCCTAAATACTTCCATATACTGCCACTCAACCTCAGCACACTAAGCACATTCGATTTAGACGTGATCCTCTCAAAGACTGAACGTTATACTTTATTACGGATACAAATTATCATTTGTTTCTTCTTCTTGTTGTTTTACTGTTAGTCCCATAATATTAAAGATTTTTATCGGTCGCTTTAAATATATGATGTTAGCCCGTCTTATGTGCATACTGATCCACTGGCTCACTTTTCCTCTTGTTTCCCGAGTTTTCTTCACTGACACCATTCGCCTTCAGCACCCAAAGTACCTTTATGCCAGATGCAATCCACTAATTTGACAATAATGTATTAAGGAAAAGGAGTATACTGTAATATAATGCTGATTAAAACCAAATAGTTTGTATGTTCATGGAATGTTTCTGGTCTGGAAACCTTTACTCTTTTAAGGTCTATAGGGATAATTATCAACACAAAATAAATGAGCTCAGTCAACTCATCATAATAAAAATCGTCTTTGGTGGTTAGTAATTACGTTCTTCTAGGTCTTAAGAAAGTTCTAGAAACGGCTGGTGAATAATAAAGCTGGAATTGGCTTTTCCGATATGTAAGAAATGTTCGATGTGATGTATCGGACAGTCATCGACCAAAACTCCTCACTTGAACAATTATTATTGGCTTCACCAGTTGGTGCGTTTAAGAAGCTGTCTTCTTAAGCATGCACACAGCAAAGACTTGGTTTATTTATCTTCCGCAAGTCGGAAACACTCATAAACAAATCCCAAACTACGTCTAAACATAATCTAGCTAGTGTAAAGTCTTTGACAGATAATCTACTATGCACATTGTAAACAATCATGCAATGACAACCGTAGTCGTAAAGTCCACTGCATAGCGGAAATTACCGCCTGGAAACATGTGCAAACCTTGGGAATCCACTTCAACATTTTGTAAGGCAACCTAGAGATAAACAAAAATGAAAAATTTGAACCTGCCTGGTGTCTTTGTAGTCGAAACTAAACGTAACGCACCAGTCACAAACTCAACAATAAAGCTAGGGATTGAAAACTTATCTCAGAAACCTGGATCCCTTAAGAGATAAGTGATATCGAAGTGCGAATCCCGGGCTACCTACTCTGCAGAACTGACATATTAAGTTACAGAGGCATAACAATCATACTGTATGCGAAAAATAACATCCAAATAATCTGTGGAGATAGTGAAACAACAGAAAAAAAGCATAAAAACTAACACAGGATCATGCAAAACTAAAATAATGTTATGCTGAATTGACCTTACTATAGTAAACCTTCAGATGGTAGGCTAATAAATTCCCATTTAACTGTCTAAAATCCTGTTCGAATTTATGTAGGCGACTTCAGTGGGCCTAATTATTAATACGTTCGTGCAACGAAGCCGTTTACGAACTTTTGCCACGAGTTATCTGTGTACCATTCCCTTACCCAACGTCTAGGATGTAAGTAGAACAATATGGTCGTTCAATTTCCAGTCCTTTGGTATTAGCGAAACTAGTTGTCTTTCTGAAGGGTTTCATTGATGAAACAGCACAACTACATGTGCGCCAGTTGCTTCTGTCTTGTTCCCTCTCCGGTAATTCCCGATCATTTGTACGGTGCATAAAAATGACTGATAACTCCTTTCCATATCAGTCTCTGGATGAGGACTGATATTCATTGTTATTATGTGGTTAGTTCGATTGTTCATTTACTTTGGTCTTTGGATTTGCGTGTGCTGTTTGAAGCGTTCCGATTTGTTCGTATTGAATATGGGACGTTTGGATGTGCTTTTGTTCTAAAGATTTTAAAGTAGTCAATGAGCGGACATTTGTGTTTGTCTAGGTTTATGATTATTAATTAGGCTGAGGCGTAATAGTTTCCGAAATGCTTGTTCATTGTTGCAAGCATTCTGTCACAGTCTTTATTCGTACATTTAGCCTATTCTTATAAATCGTTGGCTCATATTTATTATTTCTATTGAATTTTTTTTTTGGATGAGTGTTTCAAATAGTTGGGAGAAAGTTGCTTTCAGTGAATCCATGCACAGTTGTAGTTGGCGCATCCGACGTTTTGTGATTATTTCCGTTGTCTATTTGACTCTGAATAATTCTCTTTATTTTAGTGGTTGAGTTTTGGTCTTCAACGTACCATATATGGATTTTATTTTGTTTTAGTTTAGTCTCTAGGTCCGATTACTGTCTTTTATCTTGTAATTCTTTTGTCACGCATTGCTTCCTATCGGCTACTTGGGACCATCCTCTGACATTTCATAAGCCAAATTTTGCTTTGTATAATTAGGCTTTTTGTAATCAGCAGAGCAGGTGACCAGTCTGATCGTCAACTAGCCCCTCGCTTTAGTTCATTGGGCGGGGTCCCACTAGCCCACAGCACCATGTAGTTGAAGAACAACAATTCTCCAGTAAATAATGAAATAGCCACTGACATGAACAAACAATGGAGAAACAAATCAAAGATGGTCCTATTAGAAATAATTAAATGAAGTCTGAATAAGTTCAAAAACCATGCCCAAGCAGTATGTCGATGCAAATATGATAAGCATACATAAAATCACTTTTATTTAAAAAAACTATCGTAATGACCTCGGTGTTAGTGTAATATGAATAGTTTAAGTATTACATTAAATTCATGTGAGTAGTATAAAGTCATCTTCTGTACACTTTTCCTCCATTTAGAAATCAGTCTAAATCTGTTAATCACACATGTGACCAAAATATGACGAGTGCAAAAAAGCAACCAGTAGTCACTTATATATATTCAACTTATTTTTAGTACGTTAATCCAAGAATTAGAGGGATATCAGGCGATGATGAAAAAGAAGTATTAAGAAAGCTACAACTGTTGTGTCGATACGATAGTGAGGTAAGTTACAACCACTGATTTATTTTAGAATGAAATGGTAAATTTAGAAACGGTTACAAACAAATGGAAAAAAGCAGCTTGGAAGGCACTACAAGAACTGATTTCTTTTTCTGGAGAAAAAACAACTGAACAAGAAATATTAAGTAAAGTGGGGATAGACCCTGCTACTATCACACTCAAACCAGAAGAATTGTAGTACCGGGCAAATAACTGTTTATATAATACATATTCACACTCCGATATGGTTGGTAATTTACAGAAAAACTTCGCTTAAGTCGCATGTGTCCAACCTAAGCATGTAAATGCAATTAGAGTATATCTAGTATGTTTAGGTCTGCATCACACTCAACGGTTTATTTTAAACAGAAGCGTGTTTGTTGAAAACAGTAAAATTTAAATGCTTCAGGCAAGGTGGTTTAACAGTTGCCGACTTTTCATTTTTGCTTATTTTTGTCCATATTTTTCAAAGTACCCACATTCTGGTCAGTCTTAGACAATGAATATATAACAGTCTAAATGACTACATTTCATATCAGCACAATGATAGGAGGTTGACCAGATGGCAATAAGAAGAGAAGAGATAATACCATTTGCAGTTGAAAGCTAAATGTAATGAATTATTTCAAAAGAAGCAAATCAGATTGAGAGGTGGAAAGTTTAGGATAACAATGGACTTGAAATTTAGAGTGAAATGAAATTATTGCAACTGTATCACTCCAACCTATTTCAAATTTTTCCCCAGCGTCTCCAAATATTGCGCGAGTTACATCCGGGAGGTATTCAGCTTAATCATTTGTCAGTTAACATTGTGGGTTAAATTTGGTTGTGGCTAAGGGTGTATGAATTAAAACAAAACCAGCTTTTAATGGTGTGAATAATTGCTTGTGTCTTAAACACTTCTAAAGCAAATCAGCAGTAGTAGGTTAATTTAGGTCACTTGGATTCTCTATAATGTTGTCTTTTTCATCCTATGGGGAAATGAACCTCTAAAAGCATCCTCCTGTACACTTCTGGGTGCTGTAATCAAGGTTTTTAGCAACAGATAAATTCGTCCCCCATTTTGTGCAACTAGATTACACCAATCTTAGTGATGTGGTAGGCTTCAGTCCCTCCTAAGCATTTAACGGCGGTATGATTCGTCTTTATAAAACTTTGCATGCAACAGAATAGGTTATTCTGTAGATATATTTATGCGAACCACACCTAATGTCGTGACTCTTTTTTAATCTTTGTTAATTTAATGATGTCTTTTTGTCCATAAGTCAGTCACTCTACTTTTGATATATAAAACTATTGGTCTTTGTGTTCAGAGATAACATTTATCCGTATGATGTGCACTTTACACTATCGAAAAATTCCATAAGAACTGTAGGGAATATTTTTGAAATCCTGGCTAAAAGTAGAACTTAATTGGAAAGTACAGGCCGACGTGTTATCCAAGGTATTTATCGAGACTTAAAATTTACTGCGGAAAGATTTCAGTGTGTAATCCCCATGAACTGGATGAGTTTCCGACTTATAATTTCTGTAAGATTGTTGGTGTTTGCCACATATATTATGAGGGATAAATGGAAAGACCATGGTCACTTTTTAGTGGTTCAGAATCAAATAAGTGTTCATCAGCATTTTTTGCTTGACTGACGTGAACGAGTCTTCCCTTAACCTTAACAGTCAAGCTTGCGTACCAGTAAGACCATCGAGACTAATCCAACTTTTATTCCATGTGTCATACTCTCAGTCATTCTGAAAGTTCATCGTCTACTCCTGACCTTGTTGGTTAATCAACCCCTTTACACCAAGTTCTACTGGTTTCAAAGATTTGAGCCTATGAATCATTATCCTTTTAATCTATAGTAATTACATGTGTCAAATAATTAGAAGAGCACTAAACATACTTCTTCAAGTCTGGCAGTAACATTTATATGGCAATAGACCAGTAGTAAAGATAGTCCATATAGTCTGTTTTTAATCTATTTAACTAATTTGCAAATATCATTCACAAGATCATTTAATACAAAATATATTAGGAAATGAAGAATTTTCACTTCACAAGAATATTTTTTGTATGTTGTACAGAGGATAATTATGCAGTCAGTGAAATCAGTCGTTTGAAAAATAATAATTGTTCTCTAATCAAGTTTTAAAATTAAAAAAAGGATGATTGCACATACTTCATAGGTAGTAAAGGTTTTGAAACTATTGAAACAAAAAAAAACATATCACAGGTCGGTTACATCTTCTTCAATCAAATCTTTTATATAATCAGAACTGAATAATTCAGGTAGTCCACTTTCAGAAAACATACTACTGAAACTAGTATTCAATGGAAGTTGGCGCCAATCTTGTCCATCGTTATTATTGTACTTTAAGTCATTTGCTGTATTAAAAAAATTGAATTAGTTCAGTTAGTTGAATCAAATAATTGTCAATCAATAGGATGAACAGTGAGTTCATCATATCAAGATATAACGGTGAACGTAATAAAAAAATTGAAGATACTATTGAAATCGACCTGAAAACTAGGTTCTACCGGATCAGTTGTTCCATCTTAATTCAGAACCGTTCATGAGTACTTGCACAAAATAGAACCCAGAAACTTCAGATTAACCAGTGAGGATGATAACATTCAGTGAAATTATTTTAGTCGGTTAGACTAGAATACTTTGTAGGGCACTAAGAGAAGATGACTTTCTGCAGTAAACATTATATTAATTAACTACTATAATATCCTGTTAGAAATAGGACCACCGTGAGTTTAAAATATATCTTGTGAATACTGTTGCGAATCGGTAGTAGCTTTATAATATTTTCATTTTCTGATCAATCGTTTATCATCCGGTCGGTTTTGTAAAAATTGACAACTTCTATCCTCAACTAAAATTATTTAACTGCCCAGTAATCCTGTCATCTGATTTATGGGTAACATATTAGTTCGATAACGTCAGTTATCCCAATATTTTGTCAAACAAAATGAAACTTAAAGTTCATTAATTTCACGGTTGAAGTCTGTATTTCACCAGTGCTTTTTTATTACCCTACTTGGTGATGACGAATGTACTATATTGCATGGAGTCAGTTTTAAGGTAACTGTTCATATATCTGTGAAGTTATTTTGAAGGGAAGGACATTTTATTGATTTGTATGTTAAACTCGGAAAGTCTATGCAATATAATAGTTGTTATGCATTATCGCTAATTAAAAAACTATCCACATATTTTCGGAATAATAATATCAAGATAAGCAGTTTTCGTTTTTCACAGTGAACTTCTGCATGTGATCTTCCTTGTAAATAACAATGGAATTATAATGTCAAGAATAGGCTGTCCATCATACGGTCTTATTAGCTACTCGCATTTCGGTTCGTTTTACACGGGTCCAAAAGGTATTTACATATGAATATAAATAGTTTGATGTAACAAAAATTTTTTTAAAACATACTATTATCTGGCAAGTATTTGGAGTCACTTGTTTGATTAGCTTCAACAGAAATCATGTCATCTGCATCAAGAGCGAAAATAGGATGTTGAAGTGTTTCAAAATGTTCACCATAAGTACATGTAGATGGAGCAATATGCGTTGTGTCATTTTTATTGGATATACTAGTTACTGAACATTGTCCATTTGTTTCCTAATAAAAAATATTGTTAAAATGCATTTTACTACTTTAGTACTAAAAGCTAACATACAAAAAAGGCGATTTATAATTATTAAATTGTCATTTGCACCAAATTGAATTTTTCTTAATCATTAATGCTCTATTAAAGTCATACAGGACCAAATGAAATTTCATTACCTGCATAGATTTGTATGGAATATCCAAAGCATGAAAATGTCCATCCCCATCGGTTTTCGCTAGATCAATATGATCATCTGTAACGTTTAGTGTATCAGGTCTACAGATTGGTGTATTGTTAATGCTGTTGTTAGTTGTATGCTGGCATGGTCCCATTGAAAATTCAGTTGATTTCATTTTAGTTGTAGTGTTGTAGTTAAATGAATCGTTCCAGTCAAATGGAGCAATTGTTTCGTTATTGGTTACTTGTAATTCTGAGTACTCTCGTGATTTGAAAACCGGTGTCTGTGGTTCTGGTTTGGATTGAGTTAACGCAGGAAATCTAAAAATGAAAGGTGTATACTATTCAATTTTTTTTACTTTTTCATTGTTTTATATGTAACTTTATCACACAGGTCTATGTATTTATCCTCGATCCATAATTCGTATAGATGACAAGGATGCTACCCATCTGCTCATAATGAAATGGGTGAGGTAGGGCTCAAATTCATAATGCTTTAATCACTAGGTTACCTTTTGATTGGAAGTGACTTTCTATTGCTTAGAAGATTTTAAACAAAGTAGGGTTATGTCATAAAAAATTCTACAAGTCAGAAAGTCATCCTGAAAAATGTTTGACACTGTTAAAACGGAAACTGATCAGCCCACTAAAACATGACAATGTCACTCATCTAATTTGTGAGTATTACTGATTGATATATAGAACGATGTTAACTGCGTGTTAGTTTTCTCGTTAATAACAAACACGAAGCTGATGGACCGTAAACATATATTGAAATCACGAAGCGATCGAAGTTAAACAACCAACTTTGATTAGTTCGTGATTTCAATGAAATTCAACAATCTCTATAACACTGTAATGATAAAATATGTGTTGCATAACCTTCCAAAAATACTAAATAGTTAAAATTGCTTATTAGTTGAGAAGAACAAGTGTTTTATGAGCTTAAATCAATTAGTCTATAAAGATTCGATCCACATATATACAGCACAAGTATATATATCGTACAACTAACAATTCAAATTATCGGGCTGAATTCTAAACGTATGATTAATTTTGAATAGAAAATACGAGTTTCGGTTTATCTACTCAAAGTCTACTATCTACAATATTACGGTTGTCCATGTTTTCTATTGATTTCAACTTCGGTATTAGTAATTAAATGTATACTTGATGGGAAGAAAAGTAACTTACTCAGTTGAATATAGCTTGCAGATAATACAGTAAAGAAAGGTATTCAATTGGATGGCTGTAAACACAGCTTTCAAGTACACTGACTTTGTTTTCCCATGGTTTAACCAATTAATAAATATTGTAGATAAGCCATTTTTAACAGCTATAATATAATAAAGAAGTTAATTATAATTACTGAATGCAAACAAGTTCAATACTGAATGAAATTCAGGTGTTTTTTTCAAAGTATCGAGGTCTGCATTGCAATTTTCCCAAGGTTTAGAAGTCTCCACGTCTCTACGTGGCTCATACCAGCCATCAGTAACTTCACAAACTTTCCTGATTAGGACATGTGTAACGTATGCCTACCAAGACGAGTTATTTTAGCTGGTGAAAGTTGGGTAAGGTCAAACCAAGATTCGGTATCAGTCCATAAAATGACTGACTGTTGGCCTGAGCTGTGCTAGTAGATGCGGACTATCTAATTAAGGTCCATATGATAACCGTGGCTAGTAGTTGCCACAATGACACAGATGCATCCACTCTTTATCTTCCTCTGGATCTTGAATCCCATTATTCGTCGATACATATCTTTCCGCTTTGTCTTTTTAAACCATATTTCCAGTATTTAGTCTTTCTGACTTCCAATACTACCACATCCCTTTAGACTCCCACAATTAATCTTTTTGTTTCTATCTCGTCGTGCTGATGTGGCAAAGCACATCATTTTTCAATGATGTCTATTTTAATACTTTCGACGCAACCGCGAACTGTTAGAAAGACAGAATCTAACCTATGATGAATAAATATTTAGGGAGAAAACTCGGTATCCGTAGTGATACATATAACTTATGTCCATAAAATGTAAAAAGATTTTCATGTAAATAAAAGTCTGTAACTTACTTTCTTGTATTGCATGTGTGACAATATTTTGTTCAGGAATGGTAACAAATTCTTCAACATGTTTGTCCAACAAATCTTTAGCATCCCAACCAAGTATTGACAGTGAACTGAAGAAATTTGGGCAATAATAAATAAATATAGGATGAAAAATATAATACCACCAAGAATAACTGCGTGCGTATGTTTAAAAGTGCATTGAAATAGTTAGGAAAACTCAAGAGAAAGTGAATAAAAAATGTGTTTAATATGTATATATTGTAGATTGATGACTATGAGTTATTTAAAAACATAGACCCAGAAAGTTGTGTTAAAAAAGTTAGAGATTGGTACGGTACTTCTACCCCGAGAACAATGATTAGATGTTAATGTAGTGTATGCACAGTTTTGGTGTTTAGTCCCACTCGGAGATACGGAAGAACGAAGCACTGCATGAAACGGGCTACAGAGAGATGATGGAAAATCACAAGTATAGGGGGCTTTATACAAACACTATTGGTAATACCGACGAACGAACAGACACTAGGGTCACAGTTTATATTAAAAAGCATGTCTTCCGAAGATGAAATAGATGGTGTTGACGACAAACTGATGTCAGTCGAGTGTACTGGTAAAAATTTTCTCTTGGGTAAACCTTTTAAACTAGTTAGAAGAGGATGGATTATGATAAAACAGCTATGTTGCAAAAAGGCCTTGAGATCTAAAACCGTTTCAGCCAATCGTAAGACAATTGTATATGATTTATTGTATTGGAAGGCAGATTTTACATACGGTATGTCAACTTAACATTTAAAGCAGACTGATTTGCGTTACGGTAGACGAATTTATGTTTCGGTGCTGCATTTGTTGGTGTAGAAAATCTAAATGCGTTTTTCTTTATTCAGCTTGAGGAAAATAATATTTGTATTTACTTACTGGGTAATTGACATTCAAGTTAAAGTAGATGTAGGACCTGTAGCAGTTCCTGAAAAAGTGGTTATACAACGGTATTTTTGCATGAACTGAGGGTTGCATTTGTATTTTATTTTACATTAATGATTTGTAAAGGGTGTACTATTTGGGAGTGTTTTAATAAGTCTTATTTGGGATTGGATTAACTGAATATATAATTACTTGCACTTATCCAATGTAATCCACATTTAACAATAGATTTCTATATTATCACTGTTATTAAGAGTATAATTTTTGATCTGATAAACGAATTTCCGGTTGTAAAAATGAATAAATAGAATGGTTATTGATAGGTAATATTCCATGATACCATACGGCTGAGTGATGGCTGCTGACAAAACCACTAATCAGATGAATAGGTCTTTTTTTCTAATAGAATAGTATCCTTATATATCAAATATGTTGACAGCTTAGATTGACTCGTGAATTCAACTTTGAAAATATTGTGGTATATGCTACTTATGCCTGTCGACATAAGTAGTATGTTACACCAATCAAAAGTTGAATGGCTGGCAGTAGAAGGTTAAAAAGATCGAGTTGAAGAAAACAGAAGTGGAAATTGAAAGGAATTGTGAACTGGAAGGATCGTACGGAGTGTGAAGGACAAATGATGAGATTTTACAAATGAATTATTAAATGTATGGTTCTCATATTTTACCAAGATATTCTGTAGTTTTGTATTAAACAATGAATTAGTCGTCCCCACCTGTGTTTTCGTTCATTACAAAAATGAAAAACATAAAGGTCATAATGTTAAGTGACTCGTGAATTCAACCGTTGAAGTACTACAATCTCCACAATAATCATGTGCTCACTAGTGACTAGGTTCAAGATGAGTTTCCTGGAGTTCTAGTCACAAGCCATGACCAGTGGAGTCCAATCCATGTTGAGTGTGAGACATTTGTTCACCTCAGACAATGAATGAAGAGTTGCGCAAGATCATGGACCGATCGAATTTAACCATTACCAACGTTAGATGCCTGCTCAGTGGTCTGGATGTTAAGTGTTTACGCGCGAGACTGAAGGTCCTGGGTTTGAGTCCCGCGTGTGGGATCGTGGATGCGTACTGCTGAGGAGTCCCATACTAGGACGAAATAGCCGTCCAGTGCTTTCAGGTTTTTAATGATGGACTAGCTTAGATTGACTCCTGAGTTTAACTTAGAAAAAATATGCATGATTAAATGTCATCGGAAATTGAAGAAATCAGTTCTGCGGGTCTTTCACTCTGCAGTTAATTAAACTTGATCATTAGACCTAATGCTTTTCGATTATATTATACTGTTATGTAATAAATGAAAACAGTCAATAACTTATTCAGAAGCAAGAAGAATAGTAGCACTCACTTTCCAACAACTTCTGTTATTGACAAAGTATTCACTCCAATGCGTAAAGTAACATGATCAGAACTGAAAGTTTTATTAGGTGACGTGGGTTTGTCAAATGAATTATCGGGAACAGTTGGACAGGCTATATCCAAAGGGCGACAGACACCACGGAATAAATAATAAGCTTCGGAACAATCACTATCATCTAATTGTACGGGAGTAATAATTCAAAAATTATCAGTACGACAATAATAAATAAACATCATGATTAAGTTTAGAATGCATAAAGTTAAATCTGATCAACAGGCATAGGCAAATGCCATCCAGATGAAAAAAACGTAGCTGTGTGTACAAAAGAAATATCTCCAACCTCTTCTCCTGCAATGACCAATATCAGGACTATTTAATTAATAGTAATCTTAACTAGTGAATTAGCTAGTCTGACTAATGTACTTACAGCCGTTCTTAGTTAAATATAATCCCCTTCGTTATATTTACTCACATATCTTTATATTATTATCATTATTGGTTTAGCATTGCTATTAGTCTCTCGAACATAGGACAAATCTACCTAGCACTTACCACTTACTGATTTCATATAACTTTATACACAATATAGTCTTTTATTGGACATTGGAATAAATTTGTAATTGTACTATTAGTTCTCTCATCCTATGTGACCCATATTTATTCTGCTAATGAATCTCATAATTTCATTTAACGTATAAGCTGATTCAAGTTGACATTGCAAGTTAGTCATCTCAAAACTAACAATTTTGTTTTATTTAACAATCCTAAGTTCACATGATATGATTTTTAAATGATATATTTTGCCTCAAAGCTGACAACTTTTTGGATTATAATTATCTCTTTATGGTTCGAAATGATTTTTGGAAGAAAATGTAAACAAGAAGAATAAATCTATCAGCAAACAGAAACATGTGTTGGTTTTTTTTCTCTAAATATAGTAACGCATTTAAACAAACAATAACGTACTTTGATAAACAATATCCCCACAGAATTCTATAAATCGATACAGTTGACCATCAGAACCACGTATACAATTTTTTACTGGAATACCAGATCCGCAACGCATGGCAATGATGAAATTTCGTGAAATAAGGTCTATAAAAGCGTAAATAACAAAAACCATAATGTCTAGAATAAGAGGAGAATAAGCAAATGTTTAAATGTGTTGCTTAAAATTACACACTGAATATTCGAATTATTGAGTCTCGTTTTTTAGCGCAACTAGTCATTTGTTATTGAATCTTAGAAAAATAAGTCTTGATTTATTTGTTTATAAAACAAATGTCTGAAGATTTTTCATGCACTAAGATAAATAAAGTAGAGTGGAAGGAGTCAACAACGAAGGCATAGGGGTACTATGCGGTATACAGCATCCATACCTTAAGAGAATGGAGCAATGTCGTTTGGGTGTTATGATGAATACATCGATGGTTAACCATTAACAGTTAATTTTTTATTTCAGTAAACGTCTACTGTAGCTTGACTGTTTTTTGGATCCAATAACGAAATTTCTAGGAACATTGAGAAAAATAATTTCAGGTGAATTACCAATGGACAAAAAGTAGGTTACCAACCAATTCGGTGGCTTTTAAGAAAGGATTAATTTGAGGAAAGCTTTTCTTACCAACCGATATCATTAAAAAACCATTAAACTTAAAAAGTGGACCAATAATTGTTCTTCCCTGTGATGAACACCTCTCGAACTTGAAAATAGTCTCAACGAAATTTTAAATACTGTTCAATCTAATCTAACCGCAACACACTGAATGGTGATTTGTTAGATTCATGGTTTCTTTACAAAATATTCACATTCACATACATACATGATTTGCTGAAATTTCACACTGTATACATTTATAAATCATAAACAGTTATGAATAATATCAATGCATAGAGATTTGTGAAGATTGTAGGACTTTTGTACTTTAAATCATGAACTGATTTTAACTAGAACATCACTCAAAACCTAATGGCATTGAACTGAGTTACTCGGAAACTCCTCTGGCATTTGAATGATTTTATTTATACTGAGAATAATCATATGTTAATTAATAACTGAATTCAAGATGCGACTCCGAGCATTCTAGTGCGAAGCTATAATCAGTGGAGTTCAACAACGTCGAGTGGGAGATTGTTATCCATTGCATGTAATGGATGATGATTGGGTAATACTGTAAGTTGATTGAAGTCATATATGTACACCGTCGGATGCCAAATCAACTGTAAAGCGATCGCTTGCGAGACCGAAGATTCTGCGTTTCTGTCCCCTATGGAGACATCATGGATGTGCATCACCGAGGGGTTTTATACTAAGACAAAACAGTTGTCCAGTGCCTCCCAGTTTTTAGTAGTGTTCTATCTAAGATCAGTTCGTGATTTAAACTATAGAATTTATAAATATTCAGGTAACTATAAAAAGTTATTATTTGACAATAATTTTTTGGTGTTGATTTTTTGAACCGTGCCATTTCTCAATGTTAAAAGGTTACAAAATCTATTGTGCAATATTTCATGTTCGAAAATAGTTAACTGCTCTTATTACAGTAGCGCACTCAAAATCTTATTCAACAAACTCTCAATTTCGATTTCCGAATTTGTAGTGTTAGATAATAATAATAATAATAATGCGTTTATGAAAATAACTGAATGATTGACAAATTAATTGGAAGATCGGGTGGTGGGTACGGTGGTAATTATTGAGAAAGATATTATAATTATTAAATGAATGAATTGACACACATTTAGTTACAGAGTTGATTCATTGCATAAGATAACACAGCAGCAACAACCTTATGCAGCAAAAAACAAACCAGATCCCAACTGAACAGGAAATTAAAAAAAGAAGCTGGAGGCGCATAGGAAACACATTGCGGAAATCATAAAACTGCATCACGAGGCAAGCCCTAACTTGAAATCCTCAAAGTAAAAGGAAAGGAAGCACACCAAAGAACTAATACTACACCGGAAATTCAAGGGTGAAATCAAAAGAATGAACGGCATTTGGCAACAACTGAAAGGGAGAGCCGAGTATAGAGTTAGTGTGAGAATCCTAGTTGGCACTATATGCCCTATGGAGTAACAGGCGTAAGTAATAGTATAATATTAGAGAATGCTTTACGAGGACTGATAATTCGAAGTGATAACAGTTACGTAAGTGTGAAGTGAATGTTACAGTTTTATAACAAAAAAACGGAAAGAATTTTTTTGAGAAAAAGAAATTGGCAAAGAAAAGAAAATGTATAGTAAGCCATTTGTAACTCAGTCTAGTGTTGAATATTCCGATAATGACTGCACAAGTTTCTTATGAGCACAGTGGTTAGATTCGTTAATAAGGGTGTCGATGTGTTTAGCTATATATATGAAAGATGTATGCGTAAACTGTGCGCTAAATTCAAAGAAAACTGGTAAATGATTTGAAAGGTTTTGTTTATGATCACTTGATATTTCGTATCAATCAAGATGGTAAAAATAAGTCACTTAATTAACCTTGTACGCTAAACAGGATTATGGCAAATGAAACATACTAACATCGTTTAGTGAAAGATTTTTGGCTTAAAACTGACCTGTATTTCAACGACATAACCATTGGATAATAAGTTTAGATCGTATAAAAATGTTACACATGCGGTTTATAGTCTAGAAAAAAAGAGCTTCATAGATTTGCTTGAGATTCATCAGTATAAGAGAAAATAGAATATTCACGAAAATAATTTAAATATGAATACATATTTTACAATGGTATAAATATACTTTACTATTACTTACGTCCATCTCTTGCTTGTTGCATCTCTGAACCATAAAACATGAGGCTATCAGTGATAATTCTTTTTGTATTAACACTTGGTTCAGCTAAGTCATAAATTGTTTTGCCTAGAAAACTACTCTAGAACAAAATGAAAAACGAACAGCAAATAATGTTAGCATAATATAAAAGACAATTGAAAAAATTATTAGTAGTCAGATAACTTTATTGATAATGCTAAAAAATTTTCTAATGATAATTAAGGAATAACTAACGAAAAACATACGCGACTTGATAACCTTTAATTTCGGATCATAATTTAATCTGATTACAGTAGTCTGCTCAGTTGCTTAAGTATTATAATGCATTTTTCGGTTTACGACTTGTTTTAACGAATTAATTAAGTATTTTCAACTCATAATGTAAACACAAGTTCATCAAACCTAATAACTTATTGTGGTGCTAAATATATAAGTTTATGAGGTGGAAACACCATAGTGGTTAGTAAATTTTCTACCTTGGTCACTCATTGTAAGAATTATATCAGTTACTAGTCGCGTATAGTTTTGTCTATCTATTTTAAACCACATTTGTGTGTATGTGAGCTTGTGGTCAGTTTGCATCCAACTACCCGAAATGAAGTGGACGAATCGAGATTCCAGCCTACGACTGATCGGCTGAAAATTGAATGCTATAGCCACCAAGTCACCGGTCTTCAGAAGAAAAAGACACAATTATATTGATATTCATGCGTAAAATATACATTACAAAGGCTTTACGATAATGTGAACAAGATCCATATCTCGTAATGAGACAGATTGTAAAGGCAGAACTGTCGAAAAACCTGTACAGTTGGAGATAACCGGTACATAATCACTAGTGAAAGTTTTATTTAACAGACTATTCGAATTTTTACAAGTAAAATGTATGTTCAACAATGATTAATTGTAATATATTCTATTTTTGCCGATGATCCTCTACAATAACTAAACATAATATAGAGTGGGATCGCTTTTTCATTAAAATTTGACTCAGATTTTTAATTTACAAACGACCATTTGATGCTAAATAATTGTGTGACGCATTTTTGTTGTAATATTGTATCAGGTCCTGATGCTTAAATAAAACGTAACCTATTTCTTGAATAGTCACTTGAATTATGACAAGAAAATATTCAATAACGAAAGAGACCCATTGTATCACTGAAGAAAGGTGATTCAGTAAAGAGAATGAAATCATCGGATAGGAAATTTTCTAGGTTGAGCTGCCTTCATTCTTCTTTATAAAAATTGCTATTTGTCAGACAAATAATTTATTGATGTAGACACGAAAATCACTACACGTTACTATGCATTACTGAAAACTGTGAACTTGCACTTAAAATATTTCAGAAAAAGCACTGGTTTTTTGGATTAATAACCTTAAAATGTAAGAGTAGACTTGGTTGACGAATAATGGTTTTATTCATACTGACTTTCAATAGCATTGTAAACTTAATTCATAAACTGATAGTCTTTACTTAGATTCTTCCTGTGAATTTCATTTCGAAAGTTTCATTCGCATAATTATAGGTTACATTACTACTCACTATGGTAGATTCAGTTAAACAGTCGCTAGATAAAATATAACACAAGCCCCAGAAAGCAAATTCTTGAGCCAATCTAGACTATCAAGTTATTATTAGTGATCATCTGTACAGTTTCATATTCAATGAGTCTTAAGTGGATACAAAAAATACCAGGGACCATAGTGTTTGAGAGTCACTTATGCTAATCTAAACACTTATGTGACTAGGTTTAGATTTTCAAATACATTATATTTGCTTATGAACTCCATTTCGTTAAAAATGATAACAACAATAAAACAGTTCACAACACATGAAAATAATCATTGAAAAACTAACTTGAGGAATATCAAGTACTTTTTCAGAGTTTTCTTCATACAATATTTCACCACTGGAACATTTGACATGTATACCAAATCCATTAATAGTCTAATAGTATATATGTATTAAAAATGTATATATATATATATATATATATATATATATATATTTGATAAGTAGGTGAAATGAACAAATCTTACATTGATAACAATTCGCGAATACTCTTCATCATTGATGATATATTCCCTTTTTCCTAATTTATCTAAACAAAGTATAGAGTGTATTTAAAAAGAATGACAATAATAGTGATGATGATAATAATAACAATAATGATGGTCATTATTATTATTACAGCAATTAATGAGCATCGAACATACTGTTATAATGAATAAGTCGTTCGGCTCCAGCAAGAAAAATGGATAATTTATCTTTACATTGTGAATGTGGTACTTGACGGTGTAGAAATTCTGTTTCTAATTTCATTCGTTCACGACGTTTCCTTTCGATTTCACTGTGACTTTCTCTGTATAGTAAAAGAAATTAAACATCAGGATAACAATGATAGTAAAATAAGTGGTAAATAAAATGAATGATTATGGTTAAGAGAACTTTATGTTTTTCAAGTTATTAAATAAATAATACTTTTTGAAAAGTAGCTCACCCTTACCATGTGTTGAGATCATAGACAAGTATATATATATATATATATATATATATATATATATATATATATATATATATATATATATAGAACAAAGCAAGTCACTAGACATTAAAATGTAAATTCTCAGTAAACTATTTCATTATTTATTGATTTTAGGCACGTCTGTTGGATTGTTATTGTATGAACTAGAAAACTGTCAATAATAAGAACTGAACACTAAAGGGTAACTAATTTATATAGTAATCAATGAATAGTTGCAACATACTGAATAAACTAATAATATAATAAATAAGAACTTTCGTCTAAATTTGAACGAATAGTTTCACAATATTTGGGCGCCGAGTTAATTTGAGACATTAAAAAGAAGAATATATTTGTAAAATCTCAGCGAATGAATTTTAAGTAAATCCAACGTTTCGCCTGGCAATCTGGTCCAAGCTTTTTCAAGGAAAATATAATCAAACAACAAAATTATCGAATATAAATAGGTACATGGTTCTTCGGTTTACTGTACACTGAATAAGTCATCCAATCGACGTGAAGGCGAAACGTTGGATTTACTTAAAATTCATTCGCTGAGATTTTACAAATATATTCTTCTTTTTAATGTCTCTAATAATATAATGTCAAGATACAGAATAGGAGAAATAAAGTAATACCATTGCGAAAGAGTAATGATAGTGCTAATAAATAGGATGAAGAAATAAAGACATGACCAGGAGCTACATTTTCCTTGGCAACTTAAGGATCCTAAAAAATACACTCATAAAATTTAATTCATATAATTAATAATTTCTACAACCATTAGAAAGGATTGACAAATTATGAATTACATAATGTGCCCAATTAAGAAATGACGAGTTCAGTGCTTCTTCTAAATTCTTCTTGAGAGCCGAAGTGAAGGGGGTGCCACTTAGAAGCAGATGTTCCAACTACGTGTGACAAGAAACATGTAATAACTAGAAAATAATCAAAAGCCTACTGAATCGAAGTAGCAAATTTATTGCATGATTCCTAAAGGAAAAAATTAATTAATCAACTGACTGTTCATTGAATACATTTTAAATTAATTGAGTGGAGTACAGAACACAACTCGAAATCATATGATTGTAATTAAAGCTTGCCATCTTTTGGAGAGTTTATGTTCCACAGGTGCAATGCAGCTGATGCACAGAAATGAAATTAAGATTCTTATTAAACCGGTGAGTTGGTACATAAGTTCACATTAAATAATATTTACAGAGTAGAAAACAAAAAAACGTCTTACTTTTGCAATTTTTCTTTATTCTGTTTACGAAACGTCTGACCCTTCTCCATATTATAAAGGTGTAAATGTCTGTGTAAGTAACAGAATCTGTTTATTTAGAAAAGTTCAAGCAAATAGATAAGAATTACCAGTTTGACATAAAACTTTTGCGCTAGAAATAAAATTTGGTTAATTTAACATATAGTACAAACAATCAGCTAGGTATTATACCTTCTTTACAACTGTGGAAAAACAATGAATTAACAAGAGATTGTGAAGTATATCTTTGGGATTTAATGAATCTCCCACAGATATTCAGATTCACCAAAACAGTTTGAATGTTTGAGGGTTTTGTAAATTGATTTCAGCTGAGATTTTTTCGCAAAAAATTTATGGATGCAAAGTATGTGAATGTCTGTGCATGGCTGTCACATGCTACCTACATACACAAGTTCCACAAAACCTGACTATATTCATAACTGTGTTAATACAAATGTATGGGCCGGTAGCTACAAAACAAGTGATTAAACTAAACAATTTAGATGGTTCGGTGTAACTGATTATATACATGACAGAAATTCGACTAAACTAAAAACATTCCACACTTAGCATTACTGTAACCAAACATAGATGGTGCTTTTGAGAAAGCATTAAGCAAAATTTTATTCATATTTCTAAATACAATTTTGTGGATAAAAATAGTTCATTTGTTTCGGTTACTTTGGTAGTTATTTTATATACTTTCTGGTAAATCTTCGTAAACTGAGATAAACCGGATGCGTGCCACGTATACACAACTACTGGCTGACATGAGATATTGTTTAGTGGAGGAGTACATGGAAAAATAGTTAGGGGTGCCCAAACAAAAATATGAGATTGGTCATAAGCCGCTGGTCTGAGCCATCTTAGTAGATACAGAATACCTGGTTGGGGTCTGGGAACAACCGTAATCCGGAGTTGGAGATGTTGAGTAACTTTGTTCAGAATCGGTGTGAATGGTGTAAATAGACCAATTTTTTAATCTTTCCTCAAGCCCTAAGCTGTAATATACTTCCATACCTTATATTTCCCAATTTATCTTTTTTTCTCAAGACCAGTTGTCAAATAACTAATTCTTTTCATTAACACACACTACAGAAATTTCAAATATTTATTAATTACATCAAGCTTTCTTTACGTAAAACGGCAACTTGGGCTAACAAATTTTTGCTAGGCTGATTATAACCGACTGAATTCTGACTTCGTAGACATACTATTTACTTGGTATGTGAAGTGAGACCACTAGTAAGGAAAAAATATGTAAAACAGTTACAAGGATCGCTCTTGCATTTACCGGTTATGATGAACATTAATCTGACAAACATGTGTATCTGTGGTATTATACAATATAAGTATAAAGATATAAAATGATCAAGACAAATCTTAGAGTAGTAGAAGCAATAACAGTACCAATAGCATTAGAAAGGACTAATCATAGACAATATGATTCTAGAAAATTAGTTTGTAGAGTATAAAATTGCAAGGTATTCCTAAAACCTAAGAAGAAACAAAAAGTGAATGCATTTGCACCATTTTAATTAATTTTGATTTGTTACTCATTATCTCCACTCATTGCCTTCGATAATCGCGAGGACCCCAATCAGGTAGTCTGGATCTACCCCACATGGCTCAGAGCAAAGGTTATTGGCTTTACGTACTGATGTATTTGCTTGGCTACCCACAGCTTTCTCTCAAACCACCCTACATCAGAAAATATCTCGTCAACGTAGGTGGTGGTTAGCTATATAATGCATACACCCGCTATCTAAGTCGATAAGGATTTATTTTGTCGCCAGACGACTTCCCATCTTTAAAACCCCATGCCTGAACTCAACATAGATTACTTGGTGGTCCTAACATATATGAGTAACACCTCAAAAGCACTTCTATTCAAAATTTAGTGATATACGAATATCATTTATTTTTGGTGACCGTATTTTGCACTAGCAAAGTGGAACACCTAAAAATGAAACATTTACTGACCAGTAGAAACCTCAGAAACTGTTAGCAGAGTGCTTCAGGACAAGGTGCAAAATAAAATATAAACAACTACATAGCTGAAAACGACCTATACTGAGATAGTAGTGTTAAATTTCTTAAAACATTGTCACGTACTGCATAAATAGTCCACAAACATTTTGCATATATGTTTAAAATGAGTTGACATGGGAAACAACTGAACATTAAGCTGGAAATCGCGTAACATTAGAAAATATGGTGATGAATCCTAATATATTGTGAAAAGCAAAGATGAGTGCATATGAATATGGGAACACTGTACATATCCGTTGCAACATTCTTTTAATACGTAATCACCACGCGGTAGACAAGTGAATATATGGTTGCCCGACATATCAAAAGAAACACAAAATGAGAAAACAGAAGAAAAAAAGTGTCTGAAAGTTTCGTTTCTAATTTTCCAGAGATAGTATCAGTTCTCTGTATTAGGAAGTCGACAGCTTGTGCAACTGAATGACATTTAACTGGCTCAATAGACTTTTCAAACATGTAAATCTGGCGAGACTATGATCTATTAACGAACCAATCACGTATAAGATAACAGGTCTCGGATTTTGGCGCGAAATTCCCTCATTCATCCGGATAAATAGAGTTTTGGCACTATATCTGAATTCAGTTCATGATGAAAAACCAAAATCTAATTTTTAACCTTAATCATCGGCTGTAAATTCTAATTCTAATTCCTCACACATGTTTATAGTCCTCATTTGGTTCTGGTTATTAGGTGGACACTCACAAGGTCAGCCTGGAGTCGCTCAAAGGTCGCCCGTTAATTATAGTCTCACCACAAAGATCTATAATATCAATATACTCACTGGATAACAAGAATCTAGTCAACGAAGTCCAAGATAAACTAAACTCAACACCGGTTCGGCCTAGACGACCTAAATATGCGCTCAAAATCGACCCCCTTCGAAATTCAATACCAGTCTTCATTCTTCAGTAATAAGAATAGTAGATTGGTCAACCTGTATTAATCCTGACACATTGCTTCCCAGTGAAGGTCCAGCTTCTCCTTGAAAGTATTCACTGATAGGGTTGATACCCCTTGTTCGGGTAAGGCGATCCGATGATTGACTACTCAATGAGAAAAACGGGACCTCACTTTAAGTTTATTAGATTGTGGTTTATGAACCTTCTTGTCATGACCTCGGAGATTATTAGTGCTGGAGGCAGCAAAAAGATAAGACATATTAACACCCAAATCATAATTAAAGATACGAAATGCCAGTATAAGGTCACCTCGTGTCCTACGATACGACAAGGGGAAAAGATTTAGGCGTTTTAAACGCTCATCGTAAGGGAGTCTAGAAAGACCCTTCACTAATTTTGTTCCCACACGCTGGACACGCTCAAGGGAGTTAGTATCCTTTACCAGACACGGGCTAGCTGCTTGGATACAGTACTCTAAATTTGGTCTAACATATATGAGATATAAAATTCGAAACGTTTCCTCGTCAAACGATTTGAACGCTCGGCGAAGTGACCATGACGCACAAAAATCTTTGACAGCGGTTGCTTTGCAATGCATAGTTCTTTGTAAATCATGACTTAATACTACTCCTAAGTCTTTATGCTCTTGAACGCATGGAAGAGGTTTACCCTCAATAGTGTAACGGTAATTATTACCGTGACCGATGTGAATTATCACACTCTCCCTAGCATTGATTTCTAAGCCTCACTCTCAAACCCAAATAAATAAATCGTATAAGTCAGTTTGAGGATCCAGATGATCAGCCTCACTTTTTATTCTTCTCCAGAGTGAAAGGGACATGATGAAGAGTGTCGCGAGCGGTTTTGAAATAATGTCCGCAAGAGATGACAGCAACCGTGGATGTAACCCGTCAGGGCTCGGTATCTCACCAGGTTTGAGGTTAGTTATCAACGGAAGGACAGTTTTTTCAGTCACCTGCACAGATTCAATGGTTGGTATCTCGGTGTGAGTGGGACAAGTATTTGTTACAATAAACGTAGAGAAGACTTCGCTAAAATAGTTTGAAAAAGTCTCAGCTTTTGCTCGATCTGATTCAGCTAGTAATTCTGAATTTTCGTGTGTCAGTAACGAGGGAATACCATCACTACGTTTCATTTGCCGTTTAACATACTAAAACAATCGTTTCGGACAAGTACGGCTATCATATACTAAATGTCGTTCGTAAGTGGTACGGGATTTGGCTATGGTTCTTTTACAGATATTACGGAATTTTCGGTACTCACGCTTAAATGGTGCATGACCTGTCAACAACAATAAGTCCCAGAAGTGTTTCCTACGCTTTAACAGCTTCCGGGTTTCCTTATTAATCCACGGAGGGCAATGTGATAGCTTACGTGCTGACCATGGGATAAATGGCGACGTTACGAACTCGAATGTATACTTAAACTTATTCCATTCGTCTTCGATCGATCCATCTGCGTCGACCGACCATCAGTCGAGATAGCACAGTTTCTGATTGCCGGAATATTAGCTCGCCAGACATTGGGACGGGGTGGAGCTGATGCAAATTGTATACCGTGTCCTAAACTTAAAGTGAATTACAACGTGATCACTGTTCACTAGTGGGGGAAGGTGCTGAATATCAAAGACATCCTCAGAGTGGTGGGTGAGGGCGAGGTCCAGCAGTGACGGATTATGTTTCAAGCCATTAGGTGTCAGTTTTACGATACACTGTACAAGTGAACACTGAATAACGGTTGATAAAATGTCGCTATCGAAACCACCAACTAGAGCTGTAAGGCTCTATCCAGTTGATATGAGGTGCGTTGAAGTCCCCAATGATGAGACAACATCCTGCCATACTCCATGAACAGATGTGTCTTAGGATAAATTCGTCAGCAAGACAAAACGGACTGCGGTACATTCCCCCTATAGTCACCAACCCACTTCTAGATTTAATCTTACAACATGCAACCTCACATGTGCCACTGATATGAGCCTCCGATGTTGTTGATTGTATACGAAAGTGGTCCCTAACGTATAATATTATACCTCCTCATTTGCGACTTGAAACTATCACTTCTAATACAGATATAACCTGCAATGAAAGGAGAACAGTCTATATCTACTGTGAACCAAGTTTCTGTAACAACGATTATATCGGGACATAATTCTTCCACCATCAGACTTAGCTCGGACGTTTTGTTTCTAAGACTACGAGTGTTCGTGTAACCCACACTTAAGGTGTTTTGGCAACCAATCGTTCAACCCATACAGGCCTCGGAAGCATTGGCTTCCAAGACCTGACTACCCGAAAACCCTTAATGGTAAGGTTATTTTCGCCATTTAATTTGCGAGTCCTCAACTCCGTAAGGGCATTCTTCCACTTGATTCGATCCTCAAGCGGCCAATCTGGTCGAATACGGATATTTGAGTCACGAGTTTTTAGCACGTTTTCCAATAATATGTCTCTTTCTTCAAAACTCCCGAGAGCCAGCTTCAGGATTCTTCTTGGTTGGGTCTCGTCCCCAACCCATTTACCAAGTCGTATTACTTTTGTAGTATGTACCCCTGAAACCCCTTCAGGTGGTACATTTCTTACCACAGACTCCACTAACTGCAGGTCATGTCCATGTCTTCTAGCAGGGTCGTTGTCTTTCGACTCCTCTAGATTCCAAATAATTAAACTAGGGAGGGGCTTAGCTTCTTTTGAAACTGTGTTCACAGCTTTCGACCGTGACGTTAGATCTTGAACTTTAACTACTGGTATCTTACGATTAGTTTTTATTGTAACAAAGTCCTGGGAGTCGAGCGAGTGACTCACAACAATGTTAGACCAAGCGTTACTATGGGACTTTGGTGGAGTGCTCTGAGAGTCCACCAAGGACTTATCAAGTAGACGGTCACTAGTTTTAGCTGTCTTTCCTACTCTTCTGCGTTTCCGTGTCATCGATATTCCATCAGTCGTAGCATCCACATTACAACCATTCGGGACAATAATTGTTTTATCCGGGTCACCGGTTGCTGATGTAGCAACATGGCCACCAATATCTAATGAGGTGTCACTCTTTGATTGTTTTGGGGTAGACGGTTTAATCGCGGGTTGTACAGTTAGATGTCTGGTTTGCGCCGTGAAAGCACTTACGACACTAACGCAATCTTCGCCATCAGTACCAACGTTGCCAGTACAGCCCTCATCAACCTTCTTATTAGTCAACACCAGGAGACTAATTGCTTCCTGGATAAGTAATGTTTTGCTCGAGCAAAAAAAACTACAAAGCCAATGAGAGTTGGGCTGTGAGCACTTTGTATATGCGGTGGGGCTTAATCGGGTGCACATCTTATGGAACCACTTATTACACTCATCACATTGCATCCCTTCCCCCACAGGAAATAAACAATATGGTTGTCCACATTTATGAACAGATCTAGCCATCTTGAAAATCAACTAGAACGGTGACAAAAACAGGATATGTAAAAGGATTCTCAAGCCTTAACTAAATAAATCAAGTAAAAGTCGACCAAGTATGCTTCGATGCAATAAATACACAAAAGCAAAATCAAAACACTCAATACAATATCACTTTAACTGGGGTAGATGCAATTAAAGTGTAAACAGTAGTTTTGATGCGTAATTTACGATCAAAACAGTTAATTAACTCAACGAGAAACAACAACACTGTCCTTTTAAATAGAGCGCGTCAAGCACCAAATATTATTTAGATTAGAACAAGCAGTTCGTTTAAAAACATATAGATAGGATGTAACGATTATTATTATTAAAGGGTCTATGTATAATAATCAAGATGAAATACAAAATTGTTTGGTAATTGAATATTTGGTCCCATGTTATGGACTGTAAACAGTATTCATTCCTAATTAAAGATCTTTAAAAGAAAAAGTTTAAATTATTGTAACCAGTAAGAGGCTTTTAGATGTTAAAGAGTGGGGCGTGCACTGCAGCTTGGCTTTAGGTGCTGATCTTTTACCTTCCAATGTTTACGTTCGAAGTGAATGTATATAACGGCTTTTTAGCGGACAAAAAATATGCGCATAATATTAGAACCCACTTTTGGTCATGAAAACTACTCAAAATGATTGCTTTAGCAAGCATTTGACAATAATGCAAAATTTATTAGAAGAAACTGAACACTACAAACTTCTGGATCACAACATGGACCTATGATAAACAAGACAGCCAGTTCAGAGGTTTCGCATTGTTTGTCTGTATTTGATTGAAAATTAATTTTCTCTTTGTCATTAAAGCACTCGTCCTTCTTTACCTAAGATAGAAATCTTTGACAGGCACATCGAAATCAGTATCTTTTTTCATCACATTCGATAAAATCTTCAAGGATGTTGAATTATTCTTTTAGAAAACTGTGGTAATGTATTATGTATATTACGTACCAGTTTAACGAAAACATTTTGAAACTCATTTTTATCAGCTAAGCTGATTTCTTTAGATTGAGTGAATTTAAGCCTCGTATTAGAGGTGTGTTTCTATCCAACGACAGCATATAGGTAACTGTATACGCTACGACCAAAGTTCGAATGTATTTGTCTAAATGAGGAAAACGTTGTTAATTTTATTCGGGTAATCCACTGGCTGTTTTGTAAGCTACGAAACCTTCTTGAGTCATTTACAGTAGACAATTTTACCTCAACGATATCAATAAACATTAAAATGCTTAAGAATCTAAGGTACTATCTCAATAAACTAAATAAAACAATAGAGAATAATTCAATAATACCGATCAGTCACAATAAAATCGAACTTTCCTATGTCACGAAATAACTTACTATACGCCAAAAAAATCATCACTCAATACAACTGTCAATTATCTGGGATATTCTCGACAGAGTGTGCTCAAAATCGTGTTCTCAAGAACCAGATTATGCAGCAGTCTTTTTGTTATAATTAGAAATATTTGAATTATTATGCGAACTGGGGATTTTCGAAATAGTACAATTTACA